CAGGCACGGGGAGGCAGGTTCCCAGGCGCTGCCCTCGCTCCCACTGCCTGACTTCCTGAGCAGGACGGGGCCAGCTGCGCCACGGGAAGCAACGCGCCGCGCAGCAACCGCCCAAGTCACTTCTGCTTCGCCTCCCTCCAGCAAAGGGCTCTTGCAGCTGCCCGTGGCTGCGGGCTGGGAAGGGGTTTGGTCTAAGTGCCAAGGCTGCTCACTTTCCTAGGAAGGACGAGGGAAGAGAGCACAGTCAAAGTGCCCCAAACGCGCTCTCAGGGCCAGCCCAAACACACCTTTGCTTCCAGATGCTCTGGGCTTGCTCTGCCTTGAGTCCACTGGGTGCTGAACACCCTGCAGGAGGCAATGCAGAAGGGCGCAGGACTGTCATGCCAGTATCCAGACCATCCCCAGGTGCCTGTGTCCCGTGTGGGATGGGGACGGGACAAATTCCCATCCGCTGTGTGCACAGCCCAATGCTGCAAAGGGCGCTTCCTCAGCCAAGGCTGGGCTTCCTTGGCAAGCTGGCTACTTGGCTTGGCTGAGGAACTCACGTCACTTGCCCCGTGCTGCTTTGGCAGCTGGTGGCTGTGCCTACACCAAGATGTTAACGCTCTCCGTCAGCAAGCGGAGACCACAAGGCATTTGGAGAGGTTTGTCAGGGATTTTTTCTTCCCTGGGAACTTCTCTGCCTATGTTGGGTTTCAGAAAGGGTTTCAGAAAGGCAACAGAACTGCATGGCTAGAAGATGCAATTCCCAGTTTGTCGTTGTTGACGCAGCATTACAGAGAGACACTATCAGTGGGAAAACAGCTGGGGCAGGAGCCGCCTGTCCCACGGGCTCTGGCACTCTGCTGCTGGGATGGGTGAAGGGAAGGTCTCCTTTCGGTCATTACATCTACTGCAGCTCATCGTCTTGTTCCTGGCACCCCAGGTGCAGAGCTGCCTTTCCCTGAGCGATTCCTTGTGCAGAGGGGCTCAGCAATGCCGTGAGTCCTCTTCCCCATCCTCAGGCTACACAAAATTGCTGCTGTGGGGAAAAATCGTAACAGCTTTTCTGAGTTTTCCTCGCTACTCCTTTTGGTGAGGTCAGCAGCTCTGTTTGAGCCTTTTAATTGCTCCTTCCTGGCCACCAGCTGCAACCTTCCCCAACTGCCTTTGTGGGGAAAAATGAGCTTTTCTGTGTCTCCTCGGTGGCCAGCCACACCTTGCTTCAGAAACACGGGGGTTTGGAGGCATCTTTTGGGTGATGATTTTCTTGTTCTCATGGCCACCGTGGAAGATCCCAGGACACCAAGACCCACTGCCTTACATTTCTGGTGAGTCTCTGGTCTTTTTTGGCTTCAATAAACATACAATCCAGCCCTGTGGGAGCAGTAACTTTGCCTGAGCCCGGAGGCTGGCCGGTTTCAGCCCTGCAAGGCCAGAAGAGTTCGTCCTCTGGCTGGTTTCCCCGCACCGTGCACACTCGTGTCTGTGTCCCCGTCTGCAGGCCCTGCGCCCCATCCCTGGAGCCGCGGACCGCACCGAAGAGGGTCACCGCACGCTCCCCACCACCCAGCCAGGCAGCGGGGCCGGCCGGGCTCCCTCCTTGCCGCAGCAGCAGCAGGATGGCGGGGGTGCCCCAGCAGAGCCCCTGCCCCAGGGAGGGCAGATCCTGGTCCTCCTGGGCTGGCAGCTGGGGACACAGCGCG